ACAGTACTTGGTTCAGCTGCACCACCTTTAACAGTTAAGATTGTCCGAGCTTTCCGCTCTGATGCTAAAGATTCAGCTATTTTTGAGAGCAAGGTGAGTGATGATTCTCAATAGTTTATTTTGAGGAACATGGCATGATAAATATAGACGTTATTCCCCGGCCCCCCAGTGTTGGAATTCTTGCATATCTCTGGTGTGTTTTACTTTCTGTTGTGTGAAGTACTGCTGATGTTTGATCACACAGGAGCTCCAATATGATGAAAGTAATGGAATTCATGTCTTGGAAGTTTTCCCAGACAACGTGGATGTGGGAACTTACGTGTTTGTTTTTGAGGTACCTGCTTGTTAAGTTTAGTGAAATATTTTTCCTTTAAGTTTCATCAAGGTGTATTTGTAAGTTGTATTGGCCTGTCAACTATTTCAAGCCCGTTTTGTAGATTGTACTTCACGATTCTGCTGGTGAAAATGTTTTTGCTACTGGAGGTCAAATTCATGTACCAATATATGTCACTGGCATTATCAAAGTCAGCAATGCAGAAATTGCAGTTCTTGACAGTGATCTTGGAAGTGTTGAAACCCAGAAAAAGTATGTTTTTGTTTCTGATTTAAGAAGTTTTCTGCAGTTATATTCGGAATCTGTTTGCTTTATTACTGATTACATATCTAACCTTCAAATACTTGTTATTTTATGTTGTGTTTGATGTATGAACTTAGTACATGCGCATTTAAATCTTAAGGTATATATTTACCTGTTAGTAACTTTTTTGCATGTTTTTATTTTTTCAATTTCAATTGTCATATTGTTATCCAGGCTAGATTTGGCTGGAAATGATGTAGTTTCACTCTCAGCTAACCACTTGCAAAAGTTGCGCTTTTCTTTCCAATTGACAACACCTCATGGTCATCCTTTTAAGCCTCATCAGGTCTGTAGTAGTTGTCTTAGATCTTCTAGATGAATGCCATTTCATTGTTCTGTTTATTGAGGAATTATTTTTCTGCAGGCATTTTTGAATTTGAAGCATGAGACAAACCATGAACACGTCTTTGTGGTTGGAAATACTGGCAAGAAGTTTGAGATCATTCTTGTAAGTATCTATTACATATTTCATTATCTATTTTCAAATGCTCTTCTTTAGTGCATAATTTGCCAAGGTCCGATAAATATTTTCTTAGTGCATGGCAGCATATAGTTTTCAACATTAGAAATCGCATGCTGCTTCTGATAAACTGTACCTTTAACTACTTGAAAGCGAATGGTTATTTATCTGTTATTGAGAAGCTATGTCCAATATTTGACCTTTTGTACCTGCTTTAGAGCTGAACTGGGATTGAGAAGCTTGTAATTTTGTTAGAGATGTAATTGTCATTTTGAAATTACGTGCAATATGTGATTTCTGTAATTGTCATTTCATTATAGATGTTATTATTATTCTCACGTTCTTTGTAATTTTGGCTCTTAGGATTTTCTTGGTTTGGTGGAAAAGTTTTATTATCTCTCGGGCAGATATGACATTGAACTGACCGTTGGAGATGCTGTTATGGTATATTGCAATATTTGGTTTGCTTAATTTACCCTTACTCCATGATACATGATATAATAATCAATCTAACAAAAAAATTGTGGTTTCAGGAGAACTCTTTCTTGCGACCTCTTGGTCATGTTGATTTAGAACTTCCAGAAACTCCTGAGAAGGCAGTGCGTCTTCCTCCCCTCCCTGTTGATCCTTACTCAAGATATGGTCCCAAAGCTGAGATAGCCCACATATTCAGGGCTCCTGAAAAACGACCACCCCAGAACCTCTCTCTTACTTTCTTGAGTTTGACTCTTCTTCCATTTATTGGCTTTTTTGTTGGGGTAAGTCTTGTTAATAATCCTCCCTTGAAACTGGCACACGTTTGTTGATGCCTGAGAAAAGGCAGTTCAGATAATGTGGCAAATAGATGAGTGGAAAAGAAGCTGCAGTAAAGTTATCTAAAATTGATAATTTATTTTTACTGTTAATTTACTTTTGTGACTGTTCTTTATTAGTTAACTAACATTTGGATGAATTTTATAAACAAAATTGAATTATATGTTCTCATAAACCAACCATTCACACATGAATGGTTTTTCCTATCATATTTCTAAAATATGATATTTATTTTGGGAACTTTTGGGATAAAAACTGAAGACTGAAAATGGCTTTTCTTTTTTCTTTATTTCTTTATAGAAGAAACATGCCTATTTTTCTCCTTATAATTTCGGACATAAAACCTCATTTGTGGTGGACTTGAAGTGAATAACCTACTACTGCGTTAGATTGTTTGTTTCTCTAATCACCTTTTAAATCAGTCACTGGCTCCCATGTTAAAAATATGGTTTAAAAGGAGAACAAGAGGTCTTATCTGCTTAGGACACCAAAGACTATATTTTAAAAATTGAGCCTTTTTTATCGCAAACCCATCCTCTGAAAGATAGTGTTGGTAAAGGTTCAACATTTTATGTTTTAAAGACTGCTTTAACCAACAAGATATCTACGACTATCTGCAGTTGAGCCTCTGGTCTGATGCCTTTTGGTCGCTATTGCTAAATGTTTAAGTTGTATTATATCTTTTCAGTTTAAAAGGCTTCAATTTTATGTTTAAACATATAGGTATATATTTCCTTCACTTATGCTTAGGTGTGTGCGGGATAGACTGTTTTTGTGTAGATGATCTTTTGGCATCCTGCAACGTTGTTTCAATTATCAAGTTACTTGTATTGGTTTACCTATCCTGTCTTCCTCTTATGATTTGGTTTATCTTCCTTGTGTTAGTTAACAACTTTCTCTTTTACGTCATCTACAGCTGTTTCGCTTGGGGGTGAACTTTAAAAATTTTCCATCTTCAGCAGCACCTGCCACATACGCTATCCTATTCCATCTCGGCATTGCTGCAGTTCTATTGCTCTATGTACTTTTCTGGTTGAAGGTATTCTTGCTTATATTCTATTCAACATGTTTCTGTCAATTTTTTCTGCGGTGATATTTATTTCTCCATTTAAAGTATGGCGATCTTAATAAATGAGAAGCAGTCTCCTGTAAATTATAATATTAAACAAAATGCTTAGCTAGCAGAGCTGGTACATTGGTTTTTGGTGGAACAATTTTCATCCTCTCTTCTGGCGGGGCTGTATTGTCACAGTTTATTCCACCATTTTTGTATATGAAATGCTTGTGTGCTGATTTTCCTTTGTTCAAATGCAGCTGGACTTGTTTACTACACTCAAAACTGTAGGACTTTTGGGTGTTTTTCTTATGTTCGTGGGACACAGAATTCTCTCCCATCTCGCTTCAACTTCATCCAAGTTGAAGTCTGCATGAGTAAAAGGAAGGTTGTCTATTTATAAAGACATGATATGGTAATTTGTGTTTTTCCTTGAACATATGGTACTAATCCAATTTTGTAGGACTTTGTTGTACTAATTCGTAACAAATTTAGAGCTCAATTATATCAAAAGAGAAAATTTTTTATCTTGATCTTGCCTTATCCTGATGAAAGTCGTCGACTCCGCTCGTGTTCTTGCATATACCTCTCCCAGACATTATGGTCGATAACTTTTTTGCCCCAAAACACCATATGCTATCATCGTCTACCTCCTTCGGCTTCAAATAATTGCGTTTTATAGATACATGTTTGTGATTTCGTGTCGACTCTCAGTTTCGAGGATTATCGTTTACTGTCTACAAGTTTCAGAAGGGATGGACAATTTCTGGAAGTGGATATAGATCTGGCTTAGATCCCTTTATGAAGATGGGGTTGGATCGTGCAAATGCTATGAAGTGATTTGTTTTAAGATGCCTCTTTTTGGTTCATATACGTTGGCAATGATATGAAAGTCCATCCAGCGTAGCTCAAGTAGCACAGCCAGCTGGACATGCATCCGCGGTAAAGAATGCATGCTATCTCAAGTTCCCTTTCCTCTCCCCATAAGACCGGAAAAAAAATGTTAGCCACGAAGAGTGGTTTGACTTTTAAGTATTACACACTAAATACCCAGTTGAAAAGGTTCACGATTGACAAATATTCTTGGGAGATTAAATTATGCAATTTTGTTTAGTTTCTGAGATTAAACACAACGAATGAAAATATGGACTTGAAAAAGCTACCTCATCAAAATCTGTAATTTAGATTTAGCTTAGATAATATAAGCGAGTAAACTAAAACTATACTAAGTTGAATGCAAATTTTGATAAGCTTATTTATGTTTCTTTTCCTTAGTAGGATGAAAATGAGAATTAAATTGTAAATTTCTGAACTCAAGCGAAAATTGTGGCAGCTACTAACTTTGCCCCATTGCAGCCCAAAACAAAAAATCAGAAAAGTGATTACAAATGACAGAAGTTCTGAACTTCTCATTAAATTGCTCCAGATAGTGATTACTTGATCAACTGCTGCATACGTACGTAATATTGATAATTCTTTTCATTATTTTTCTTAACAAAGCAAAGGGAAATTTATGGATCCAAAGTTCCAAACCACCATTATAGTAATGTTACATAATGGTCTGAACTCACCAAAACAAGAGTTAATTAATAACAGTAGTCATTCTTTTCTTGGTCTTATGTGTTTTTGAAGTCATGGAATTTGCTTAGGCTTATAAATGGTACATTATTTATAAGCTGAGCCTGTTGGGACAATTAAGGAGCAGAGTCTAAAAAAACAACAAATCCTCACCGACCATAAAAGTATCCAATTTAAGCAGTACTATGTCAGTCTTCTCGACTCGAGGGTCGTGCTCTATTGTTTGAGCAAAGCACTATTTTCCTTTAAATAACAACCCAAGTTATGGCAGGACTCAACTCCACCTAAACCATGTTTTTTAGAGTCCTGCATGCCAATAGTACCCCTTTCAAGCACTTAGGTTAACAACCAAGGGGCCAACGTGATCCCAAAACATAAGTGTAGAAAAAAAACTACAATATCTAGTACAGTAATATGTAAAAATTAATTGAAAAATCGGTATCCCTTAGGTGTGGATATAAACGCTGAAGCGTCCAAAATTTAATAAATAAATTCAAATAAAAAGATATGATGATTTGAGTGAGCTTTCACTGCGACTTACGTCTACAGTGAAGAGAGCTACACTGAAAACTTAGGCCTCAGTAATAAGGCTACAGAAATTAATGTGAACTTATACAGTGAATATTATGACACTATTCTGAAACCTGGATACTATCACTTGTGAGCCACATCTTCTTTTGAATTATAACCACTGCATGATCATCTTCTTCATCTTCATCATCTTTACCTTGATCAATGTCATAATTTGTCACAACTTCCCAGTGTAATGCAGGCAAGTATTTCCTCACATACTCCACCACTGACCGCTTATCATAGACAATGATGAAGCCCTTTGGCCTCAGAATTCTATCCATCTCAATCAACAAGTCCTCTGGACTGCATTCTTTCTTAATAATATCAGAAAATACAGTCCATGCATGAAGAAGATCATAAGTTCGAGGGTAGCTTGAAAAAGCTTCACACCTGTTCCATTCATAAAATATATAAATAGCCATAGCATGGTTAATACCAGGTTTTCATATTTGAACAAATTATCAGATCATGTTGAGTCAATATTTCAATAACTGAAATAATGTTGGTTTTACTGAATAAGATTTTCTTCTCAAGAGAACTTATTACCTCTTTCTTTTCCTTCAAAAAGGACCCACTATATAATATTTGACATTTAACTTTATAGTATATAAATATAAAACTCACCATAAAAATTGAATTTGTACAGTATAGGTAGACTTTCTTGACGTAGTATCATGGGGTAAAAGCTATTTTGACGAGATTTTTCGCTGATTAAATCTAACTAACTACCGGCTATCAAATAGTTTCAAACTACCCATTAATTAATATGATTCACGGTAACCGTTCATTATTTCATGAAACAAGAACTGTAAATTAATTTAAAAATTTAACTAATATTAGATGTAAAATTCGGTATAACTTAAAAAATATATATAAATATTTATTTTTAGATAAATTTTATATTTAAGTGACAGTATTTAAAAAATATCATTAAAAATAACAAAATATTAATTTATAAAAGTAGATTTGTACTAAATACCTAAATGGTTTTTATAATATATAAATTTTATCATTTTGGTTCCTATATCTTAAAATTTTAGTATTTTAATTCCGAATATCTAAAATCTATTCTTTAAGTGATGATGTATTATACAAAATGTCATGTCCTGATAATAAGTGGTGCCACATGGTGTCATGTTGTCATGTGTCTTCATGACATTACTCATGCGTGTCACATCATCATTTAAGCAGGAGACCCTAACAATAACGGTCAAAATAGTAAAATTTGAAATTATAAGAACCAATGGAAAAAAAAGTATAGGAACCAAAACGATAAAATTGGACCAATAACATATTTAAGTCAATCTAAAATTTAGGTAAATTGATTATAATTAAAGAGTATTTCAATCTTAAGCAAATTATAAAATGTGTTGTAATTAAGAATAAAAAATACATCTAATTTAAATTTTTTAACTATCATCCAATCACAAATCATCAAATATGATTAGTTTGTTAAATTGTATGATATCTACCTTGAAAAGTCTTTGATTATTGAACTCTAATAAAAGAAACATCTAATATAAGTTCTTCTTGTGGCTTAGAATGTGAACAATTTAATGTTTTGATTGGTTCTTGCATTTTATGTTCATTTATCCAAAGGAGAGAGTAAGTAGTAAAATGAAACAAAAATTTGAATAAGGTTTGCCATAAATTGAGCTTGTTAAAATAATTGTTTCGTGAAAGAAACGAGCCATACCAGTTGTGAACTGCTCCTATCAATCCTCTGTCATATATTATGGCGAGAGATTTTGGTTCATTTTGTGGCACCACATTCATAACCCATACATCTTTGTCTTTCAAAGCTGCTGCAAATGAACCTATATTTGCCCTCATATCCATCACATTCCGTATTGTGCCTGCTTTAATCTTACTGCCTAGCTTGCTCCAGTAATTATCAACTCTTTCTTGCCAAACTTCCTGCACAAAGTTAGATCTCTAGTAAAACTAGCCAACATTCGTTTGTTTGTTTGTTCATGTCAATTTCCATTGCAAGATCATCATGATCATCTTAGAACTGGAGAAGAAGATATAGAATAACTACATATTGTTAAAAGTTTCACATCGATTAGTGATAAAGTCAATTTACAGTATCTAAAGCAAGTGTAAATTTCATCTTATAAGCGGGTTCTATAAAATTGAGTTAGGCTTAAAATCTATATCTTAAGACATTCAACTAATATAAAGAATTGTTCATAAGGTGTCATCTTAGATGGTCTTCCAATAGATAATGAATAAGGAACCAATTGTAGAAGGAAAATTTAGGGGGCAAACTGATGCCTAGGCAACAGATGGGTATAATATGAACTTGTTCATGGTAAAATACGGTCTAGTAACGCATGTGATCTCAGTTATCTATTACTATGAGTTGATTAATGCCAGGGTTTTAAGCATCCTCCCCCTTGTTCTTGTATTTTCTTTCATATTTTTCTTCTTCTGTTACAGCTAGTCGAAGCCTCACGTTGATACTTCTTTCTGATCAGTGAAAGAATTATATTGGAGATATTAAAATGGTGATCAAGAGAGTTAAAAATTACCACGTCCTTCTCAAACATTTTAGTAGAATAGTGAATTTCAGCCAGACGAGGAGGTGGAGTAGTCAATCGAGCTGGCCAAGGAGCCAAACCACTTCCTTTTGCTTTGTGCATTTCTGCATACAAAACCAGAATATACTATTATTGCATAAAAGAGTTATTAACTACTAAAGCCATTGCTAGTGAAACATGGAAAAACGATATAGTATTATGATATATACCATATCTCCAGAGAGACATGGACCTATCTATAATGGCAATAACAAAAGCAATTTCATAAAGTGAACTATTCAACAGCTGCATAACCATGAGGGCATTATTTTGCTGCATAATCATAACTTTGAATGATTAAGAAATGGAATTTAAACCTAACTCAATTTTACAAAACTAATTTGTAAAATGAAGTTTGCACTCACTTATACTCTAGTCGATCTGGAACTTCCAGTAAGAACAACTAATGATATGAGAACATTATTTTCAACATATATCATGATATTGTAAGACATAGGAAATATGACTCACGATCAGAATAGCGTGAAATGCAAGCTTTCATTTTAACTCCGGAGACAGCATCAGGATCATCATCAGATCTGCATAGTGGAGGCAAAGTACCAGGCATTCTCTTTAAGTAGCAACTATTTGTGAGAGGCTTGATCCAAATAACAGTCTGATTCCTCTTAGCAGCAATTTTCCAGCACATCCTCTCCACAAGAGCACTCATTTCTCTCCATATTCTCCTATCTTCCTCATCCTGTGCATAGGCTTCAGGAGATGAATATGCAAAATAACCTCCTGGCCTCAATAACCTATCCAGCTCAAGGAGAAGGATACCATCTCTCTGAAGCCAATCGATTCTACAGCGAGAACAATGAGCAAATTCAAAAGATCTACTTGGGTAAGGGAGCCTCAGGGTCCCTAAGACACCAAGATATGCTGGAATTCCCCTCTCTAAGGCAAACTGAATTTGATTCTGATGAACATCGTTTGGAGCCAATGACATTGCTATCACATCAGAAGAAAGAAGATATCCTCCAAAGCTAGCAACTCCACACCCAACATCAAGAACAGACCTCACTCTTCCCTCATTGTTTATATTATTGTTTGGAAAATTAAGCATCTGTAACAAAATTGTGAATGGATTGAAATACTCTCAATTAGGACAAATTTTGACAGAAAATTAACAGATCTTGAACAATTGAAGCATTACATTGGTAATTGAAGCTTACATTAGCAATTGAAGCAATGTATTTATCGGCACCATAATGGAAGTGGGTTCCTCCACCAGGAAAAACTATTTTTTCACCTTTCACAACCATCCAATTCTGGTCAGATTTTTCAGTTGCAAGATGGGTATGAGGTATGTTTGCCTTCCACACCTGGTCTCTGCTTTTGGGCCAGTTGATTGGAATCTATTATCAAGATCAACATAAGAAACTAAAAACTTAAGCAAAGAATATTTCAAAACACTGAACTTTCATAGTTCCATCTAACGTAAGCAATCCCAGGAGAGTGAAAACGTCACCTTGTACCCTGGAGGAGGAGGAATCAAACAGTTATAACGCCTCTCAGGTATTGGGCAGTGTCTTTCATAGTGCTCCATCAGTGCTAAATCAAGCTTCAATCTTGTTTGGTATATGAGGTTTCTGTCCAGACAAGGAATAAGCTCTGATAGACGATCGTCACAGACCTTAAAAAGGTAAATACGAGAGTAAAAAAAAAGTTGAACGTGCCATAGTAGTAGAAACTCAAATTCTAGGGTAGTGTCAATGGAAAACATTAAACTTATTCAGTTCAAAATCTTAAATTAACTCACTGGAATGGTCTTTGGTATAGCACTGTCCTCTCCTCCAATAAGTGTGGAGGAAGATTCGCTCACATCTCTGTCTCCTTTCAAACCCAATTGTCTCAAAGATTTATCCCCATACTCAACAATAGATGAATCGCCACTCTGAGAATAAAAGTAGAAGAAAACACCAACAATCACCAAAAACAACACAGCCACGACTAAATTTTTTCTAGAGTTCACATCTGCTCTTCCTCTTGCCATGCTTGCCACTGCGAAAAAAATCACCTTTTTCAATACAACTTCAACTGCCACACCACACCACGCATCAAAGATCAAAACCTAACAAGGCAAACCTCAAAAACTCATACAAAGCACTTACTTATTCAAAGTTCACTCACTCACCCCCGTGAGGAACTTATGTGACTGAGAAGTTAGAACCGCAAAACAAGAACTGCAGAGACAGTTGAAAGGTTGAGAAAAAAAAATATCACAGAAACTAAACAGCCCAAAAGAATAAGCATGTCTAAACATGATTTACTCTCTGTGGGACCTTCAACACATCCGTCATGAAAGAAACATCACTGTTGAACCAAATTCACATTAATAATTTAAGAAAGAAAAATCAGGTTTTGACAGAAAGATGGTAAAAATGAAAGCTACAGCAAAATCAAATCTATCTAATAATATGCCAAAAAGTGAGAGAAGCTTAAAAAAAGCACATGGAAGTGGTAAGAAACAATAGGGCAAGTGGGAAAAACATTAAAGAAGAGATGATGAAAGAGAATCACCGACAGGTGCCACTTGCCAGCTAGCTGTTGACGTCAGTGTAGGGATTCCCAAAAGGGGAGGGAAGAAATTGGAGGAGCCAACGGAAAGTGACTTAAACCACTCCACCCTTCTTAATTATCATTACTTTTATCTATTTTCACATTATGCTGTCTGAGATTCACACGTTTTCTGGACGGATCTTCATTGATGTTTATGCATAATGTAATCTGCATATTTCATATTTACCTCAAACCTAATGCCAAAAGCTCATTGCTTTGCCGCACAACAATCTCTTTCTGTGCAGTCAAAGTAATGCATTAAAGGTTCATTGGATCACCAAATACAGTCAAAAACTGAACTATTGTCTGACTGAGTGAAGCATAAAGTATCCATAAAACTTACAAAAGATAAACCTTAACAACAAAATGAAAAATTGAAAACAGTACATTTAAATTTGTAAAATTTGGATGAAAAAAAAAACTAAGTGCATGTTCTTATGATTATCTTTTAAAAGGACAACAGAATGTCTCCCTCTCTTAAAGTTGGTCCATCATGCCTATTTATGTCTTGTGAAGTTGAGCAACGTGCAATTGTTCTGGTTGGGAATATTTTTCAGCAAACAGTTTTCTTTGCTACAATGAATGTTCGAGGACTGAAGTTCGTTCTTTCTCAAAATTGTAACTTTGACCATTCTTTTTGTTTTTTATTTGAGAATGTGGTGTTTTTTTTTTTAATTTTTACTTTCTGTAATCTTAGTTCTCAATTTAAACAACTTACAATTTTTATTAATTATATTAGTATTTTTTTAACTGGATAATTTATATACACAAAAAATTAAAAAATAGTTCAAAATTACATATTGTAAAATCTGGTGTCAGGGTATTATGTGAATGGTATTTTGCGTTATTGTGTTTTCAGCCTTGTATAGCGTCCTGGCAGTGTCAGTTTGCATTCCATGCATAGCTTTCTTCCTACAGCCCATAAGATTTTTTTTTCTATTTCAACCTTTTTAGATTATACAATTTAGAAATTATTTTTTAATTTTCAGATTTTATAATTTGAAAGTTTTTTCTTTAGAAAAAAAATTTGAATTATATAATTTGATAAATAAATTAGAAAATACTTTTACATTATGTAATCTGAAAGCCAAATGATTTTCAAATAGTATAATCTGATAACTATTTTTTGAGAAAAAACAAAACTTTAAAAGTTATTTTTATTTTTGAATTATATGATTTAAAATTCATATTTATCTTCTAGATTGCACAACTGTACAATCCATAAATAAATAAATAAAAATTTAGATTCTAAAATCCGAAGAGAAAAATGGAAAAAAAATTATAAAGGTGCAGAAAGAAAGTTATAGATGTGCAGGAAGAAACTTTCTACCGTCCCCTGTCACTCTTTTTTTTTTTTCGAAGTAGTTTACACTTTAATCGTTATTTTGGGTTCAATACAAACTACTTTTATTCACACCCCGTTTTTATCTTCCTACCCCACTTTTGCTGTCCTTCTCATTTTCTTTTGTACGACCATTATTACTTTTTCTTATCTTTCATTATTTTGTCTATATAAGTTTTCATACTCACTATGCTTCTTAATAGACAAATTTTGTGTTTTTTATTGGATTTATTACCGCCCATATAACAAAAACTGTTTTTTTATTACTTCAAAATAACCAAAATTAATTTCTTTTGTGATATTTTTTTTTAAAAAACAAAAAGTTCAGAGGGTAGGAGTGAGTTTGTTTGAGAAGACATAAAAGAAGTATAAATATCAAACTTATTTAAGGAAAAGTGTAAATAAAAATTTGCAATATATCACAACTTTAAATCTAAGTCATATGAATGCTCCATTAATGCAGAGACAGAAAGATAAAGATTGTTGAAGATAGTGGGAAAGTATAGGATATTTTTGAAATAAAAAAAATTAGTTGGGAGGTATAAAGTATTTTTGAAATAAAAAAAATAGTAAAGAAATACAGAAGCACTTGGGATAGTGGAGGGAGCAACACCCATATAATGGGCCTTTCGACTGTCTCGCTCACTGCTCTTACTCATACGTATAAAGAATAATTATTTGTGTTTAATGTCTTCTGTTAAATATAGTGAAAATTATATATGGGATTAATCTCCCTTGTGTTAAACACACATAGGGTTTTTCTATTTATAATTGAAAAAATATGGGCTAAGTCCAAAATACAAATAATAAATAATAACAAACTAACTGAAAGATTAAAAGATATAATATTTTTAACATTCTTATTTTGTTTTTTTATTAATATAAGTTGTTATAGGATCAGGAATTTGTTCATAAAATTTTCAAGGAGATTAGTCAATACATTTAAATATAAAGTATAGCATAAAAAAACTACTATTTTGACAATTCATAAGGTATTTAAGAACAGTGATAGATGTAATTGTCACAAAGTACAGCTCAGGAAATATACCCTGTTTATTCAGAAAAAAAAAACGGTTTTTAATATTCAAAATGAAATCGAAAAAAATGATTATACTTATAGAGAGAAATATGGACCTCACCAAAAAAAAATAATTTGGAATATTTGATAAAACGTAGTTGGAATATTCCTCTCAACAATCACTACTGAAGCTATTAGAAAATAGCAAAGACTGAAAACGTTGTTAAAGCAAAACCTCGTAAATGGATTTATCAAACAATTGAAGACAGTATGGGTTTGATTTCTAATTCTTTTTTTTTTTAACTTATAAATTATTCTTAAACTCTATAAAATCTTAAACCTATTGAAGAATGAATGATATTTTATGTTCCGAAACATTCAGTATTTTTAAATTGTATAAAAATTAAGATTAAGAATAATTTAAATGTATATTTTGAATTTTGAATATATTTTTTGAAGATAAAATGGAAACAATATTCTAAATTGTAAAATAGAAAACACAATGATTATGGTAATAAACCTTTAAAAAAACAAATTTTATTTGGAAAAGTTGTGAAAAGTGAAATACGAGTGCAATAGTTTCGTTGTTGTTGTTATGAATGATTGATTCTTACGTATAAGAAAAGAAGAAGAAAGTAAGTAAGGAGAGTATGTTATTTAAAAGTGTTGTTGAATGCATGACAACACGCCATAGAAAGTAAATCAACATATCTTCATCTTCAAGAACAAGTTCCATCTCTTCTGCTTTCGCTATCAAACCATCTCTCTCACTATCAATAACTTTAAAACATTTTTATATAGAGAGACTTATTGATTATGTAAAAGTAGTTTATATAGGCTATTTTATTATAATTTAAATTTTGTGTTAGTATAAAAGAAGGATTTTATGTCACCTTTATTACATAGGTCGCTAAAAATTCAATACACTAATTATGTGGTAATATTTTTTTAATTTAAAGAATATTTTTCCATCTTGTCTTACTAAACTATAATATGGAAACTCTTACATTTTCATTTGGTTTGTTTTTTCTCCTTGTATCTGTATTGGATAGTATAGATTTTCTTTTTCTTTTTTCTTCTCTAATGAGAATATTACATGTTCGTATTCTTGTAATGCTTTAGTCATCTCATTCTATTTCTTTGTGCTTCATCGTCTTATATTCTAGATCTTTCTATATCTTATTCAATGGTCTGCACCGGATTTTTCAAATAAATAAATATGTAAATACGTGCAGTTTATGAGATTTGAAATTAATTTATAATATATATGATTGGATAATATTAAGTGAATTGTGCTTGAATATTGCATTTGACTATATATATATATATATATATATATATAAAGAAATAATTCAAATGGTATTGTTTGTATTTATGTTTTAAAAGTAAAGTACTATGAATGTTGTATTGACCTATATAGTTTGGAAATTGATGTAATGTATTTATAGTAATTTATCCACAGATAAGTGGTAGGTAAAACTTACTTAAGGATAAACAACATTAAGAAATTACACACGAAAATACGAAAATTGAGTTATAGGAATTATCTATGAATAAACAAATAAGAAATTTACCTATCCGTATGTATTACGCATAAAAACATATTTCTCACATGCAAAAAATTTATAAATAACTTACTAACTTATTAATTACCTACTATGAATAATACGTGGATATATAATTATTAATTATCTACATATTTTTGTCATTATTTATAGATTTTATCAATAGGTAAATATAATATTTTTTGTAATGCAACTTAAAATTTGTAAGTTAGAAGTTTATTAGTTAATAACTAACCTATAAGCTAAAAACTGATTCGTCAGTTACCATTTAACTTATCGTCAACCAGCAAATTTATGAATTTGTTTTGTTAAATAATTGTTATTGTATTCTTCATTACACTTGCATACTTTTTCAAGTTATTTATGTTTTTAAATAAACTTGGATTTTACAATCAACATTCATCTGTCCTTCCATGCCCACGGTCACGCCATTGTGTTGCTCCAAGGAAAAAGATGAAGCAACAATCCAAGAAAAAAAGAAGTCGTCTGTGTATCCAAGAAAGAAGAAGAAACAACCCATAATAATAATAATAATAATAATACCATCCTAATAATAATAATAATAATAATAATAATAATATATTGGTACATTTTTTATCTATAATTTATATGCATAAACTTTATATTTAAATCTCCACTTTCACCTCAAAATCCTTTAAAATAAATAACACAAACTAATTGTTCTTAATTGTTCTTTATATGGCTATTAATACACAATTTTTTGTATTAAAAGATAAGATTATTTATAAATGTCTTAATTCAACCTACCAACATATAATTCTTTCCATCCTTAATGATAATACTGTTCTGTTGAGAATAAATAATCTCTTCAAACATAAATAGATTTGCACATAAGAGCATAAATTTAAATAAAAGCATACAAAAAATTTGACATGGTTCAACACTTCAAAGTCTAAAATTCACCAATACTCAATAAAAGTATTATTTATGAAG